CTTGGACCACTGTACAGAACCCTCAGCTCCATCATCTGTGCAGTAGGAGTAACACTGTCTCCCTCACAGCGCCGTTGTAAAGATGAGGAGTAGACTTAACTGCCTGCCTGGCACATAGTAGGTGCTGTGTGAGCATCCAGCCTCTCTCTAAAGAATAGCCACTGGATGAAACTGCAAACTGGAATTGCGTGCACGCCTCAGACACCGGGGTTGTGCTTTTTACAGTTTGCCCTTTAGGACGCAAGGCCTCGGTAAGCGTGGATGCACACAGTGTAGATGGGGAAAAAGGAGGCCCGGGCTTGGTGGATTCACCCTGACACGAGCTCCATGATAGTTAAGCCTGTTTCCATATTATTAAAAGTAAGAGATTATATTTAGTGACTTTTAAGACCCACAATTCCATAATTCAAAAAGGTAACCAAAACCGAGCTGTGCCCTAATTGACTCTAGCCTTCCTCGGACACGCAGAACAGATGTTTCTAATCTTAGACATAAAAGACTCTATTCTTTGGTATTTGAGGGCCAAAAGAAACCAGAGAATTAAAAAAAAAAAACATTGAGTAAATTAGCTTTCATTTTTTTTCTCATTCCTACATAGCTGCATAGATCGTGCTCTACTTGAATCATGAAGAAAAGCAGACATTACACACCTTTGGAGTTAGGATCAGCCATGTGAATCTACAACCGTGAAGGAAAGTGGTTTTTTGGTTTTGGGTTTTCTTTTTCTAAGCAACAACCACGAAATAGATGCTGGCAGTTCTCAATTGTAGCTTCAACCCAGCACCGACGTGGCCGGGCGCTGCAGCGCAGTGGGGAGCGGTTGGGAGGGAGTGTGGAACGCTCCCCGGGAGCTTCACGTCGCCTCCCCGGGTGGTGAAGGGAACACCTACTGGTCTGCTTTAAGGCCAGTAGCCGCCCTCGGCAGGTTAGCAGCCCTGGCTTTGCTTCACTGGAGGGGGTAGGGGGAGGGGGCCCCCTCCAGCAACTGACCGCAGAGCTTTCAAATGCCCTGCTGGTGGCAAGGCCCTGACTTTACTCAGCTGAAAACCGAGGAGGAGCTCATCTGGGAAGGGCCAGTTAAATAATGACAGCACTGCCCAAAGTAAACGGAGGAAGAACCGCAACACAAACCTCGGCAGTGTTTCTTTACAATTCCCAGCCCAGCCCACCAGGGCTCTGGCTGAAGTCCCCACCCACTGCCTCTGATGCCCCCATGAGGCCTTGTCTGAGTAAGCTTGGCTGACCTGAGGGCCGCAGCTTGTGCTCATGCCTGCCCTGCCCTCTCCCCCGAGTGCAGAGCTGTTGAGATGGGGGTCTGAGCACTGCAGGCAAGATGACTGGGCTAAGGCGCACTCATCAGGTCACGTGAGATGAGTAACCCCCGCTAAGCGAGGCTCGGGGAAGTCTGGGGCCCGAGCTGCTCTCTTTCTTCCTGATTTACTCAGTGCTCAGAGCACTGTCCCAAAGAACTAGAATGAAACGATGGAGCTAACGTTGAGGTTCTCTGTTCACTTTTTCTTTTTCTTTTTCTTTTTCTTTTTTTTTTTTTTGAGACAGTTTCTCTACATAGCCCTGGTTTACTCACTGTGGAAACCAGGCTGGCCTCCAACTCAGAGAGAACCACCTGCTTCTGCCTCCCAAGTGTTGGGATTAAAGATGTGCGCCACCACCGCCCGAGCACTTTTTCTGTTTTGTGGATTTTATTTCTTTGGGTGTGTTTCGCCTGCATGTATGTCTTTGTACCACGTGTGAGCCTTGTACCCAGGGAAGCCAGAAGGGGTATCTAATTGCCCGAGACTGTAGTTACATATGTTATGGGTGCTGGGAATTGAACCAGGGTCCTCTGCAAGAGCAGACAGTGCTCTTAGCCTCTGAGGCATGTCTTCATCCCTTATGCCCCCTTCTTGATCCTAAACAAATCTTCCCGTGTTGGTCTTGAAGGCTGTCTAGAAAACATTTTTTGAATTTAGAGTTGGTCAGTAGGTCTAAGTCTTACACTTCTTGTGTCTTGTTCACAAAATGTGTTCAGGTTACTCATCGCTCCCTTAGAACATTCTGAGGCCAGCTTCTGGGTGGAGTAGGAATGGCCTTTAGAGACCCGCAAGTCCTGCAATCCTATCATTACACTATCTAGCCGTGTAAATACAATCAAACTATCTACTCTAAGACTTAGTTTTCACACCTACGAAATAGGTTCGGGTTATCTGTCTTAGGGTTACCATTGCTGTGATGAAATACCATGACTTGAGGAGGAAAGGGTTTATTCAGCTAATGTTTCTAATCACAGCTCATCACTGAAGGAAGTCAGGGCAGGAACTCAAGCAGGATAGGAACCTGGAGGCCGGAGATGATGCAGAGGCCATGGAGGGAGGGAGGGAGGGAGGGAGGGAGGGAGGGAGGGAGGGAGGGAGGGAGGGAGGGAGGGAGGAAGGGAGGGAGGAGCTGCCTACTGGCTCATTCCTCATGGCTTGCTCAGCCTGCTTTCTTATAAAACCCAGGACCACCAACCCAGGGATGGCACCACCCACAATGGGCTGGGCCCTCCCCCATCAATCACCAGTTAAGAAAATGCCCTATAGGCTTGCCTACAGCTGAATCTTATGGAGGCATTTCCGAAGTTGAGCCCCCTCCTCTCTGGTGACTCCGACTTGGGTCAAGTTGTCATAAAACTAGCCAGTACAGTATCTCCATTATAATAACACGATAGGTAGGAGAAAGACCCTGGCATGTGCTGATGCCCTTCAGAGACTGTGGCATGTGACAGGCCACCCCAGTTCCCACCCTAAGACCCTACCTGGCTCTGCTAGACAGGACAGGGCCCTGCGCCTGCCAGCAGTAGTGGACAGCGGACATGCCCCAGGTGCAGGGAGAAGAGTGAACTAGGAGTCAGAGGCTGGCAGCAAAGAGCCAACGGTTGCCCCTCTGGTGCCATGCAGGGCTGGAGACTAGCTCCTTGGCTTTTGGGGCTGGCAGAAGAGTCGTGAGAGTATGTTGAGAATGTTTGGATCCCAAACAGAGGTGCCTGCTTGGGACGCATGGCCTGTGAATGATAACATTGCCACAAACCAGAATTTATGCCACTCCAAAGTGTGTGGTAGAAAAAGGCATCAACCAATGGTCGTCGCAGCTATGATTGGCTTCCTGATAATCCCAGGCAAAAATCAGAGGTCACTACTGCACCACTGCCACGAAGGCTCAAGCAGAGGATGCTGTGGCGTGGGCTGCAAGGACCCCCACGGCTTCCTCAGAAGAGTGACCTTGGCCCTCCATCCATGGTTCTTAACTAGCACTGGATTATTCTGGAAGTTGGCCTAGATGGTTAAAGCCAGGGAAAATGAGCCCAAGAAGGGAGAAAAAGTCAAGAAAATATTGCAGGATAACGAGGAAATGCTGGACTAAAGCAAGACTGAAAATGAGCTGAACAAACTCCAAACTCTGCATCTCCATGCCTGATGTCAAAATGCTCTTCAGATCTCCAACTCCTTTCAGCTTTGTTGACTGCAGCACACGTCTTTCTCTTTGGCTGGTTCCGAGACCTGTTAGCAGCTTTTCTTGGCAGGTATCCCATGATTCTGGCATCTTGGGATATTCAAGGCAATTTAGGCTTTACCTTAACAGCTTCACACAATGGCCTCTTTGGGCCTCCATGCAGGGACACCCCTGACACATGCCTGGTCTCAGTGACTTTCCTTAGTCACAGAGGGAGATTCCATAACCCCCTTTGTCCGTCCTTGACTCTAAAACCAGAACCATGTGGCTGAAGCTGCCAAGTCCTGCTGCTTGCTGGGGCTGAAACACGGCCCCCTCCTCGTTCAATTACATCTTCACCAGCTTTCTGTTTCCCATGGTTTCCTGACCTGAACCTTGATCTGTAGACCAGGCTGGCCTCGAACTCAGAGATCCACCAGTCTCTACCTTCTCAGTGCTAGGACTACAGGCATGTACCATGGCACCTGGCTTTAATATTTTCTTTAATACCTTTTCACGAGTTGGAAAGTTAGCTGGGTGGGATCTTGCCCTGAGGTCATCATTCCATTTCTTAATCCATTTATCACCTTGAACACAAGATTTAGCTATTTCTGGGGTTCCTTTTCTCCTCAGATTGTACATTTTATATTTTTACTTGTTCAACTTGCTCATTTTCATTATAAATCTTCGTTGGAGTTAACATTAATAACCACATGACAGAGTCTATACTGGGCTGTTTTGAGATTTCCTCTGCCAGCAGAATTAATCTAAATCTCTTCACTGTAGCCTCAGGCAGACTCTTCGAATAAGGTCAAAGAGCAGCCACATTCTTCTCCAAAACATGGCTAAAATTCTTCTCTGAAACCTCGAGCCAGGTCCCAAAGTTGCAATCACCCTCAGCACCACTGCCTTCCATACTCCTGCTAGGAAGACCCAGTAAGCAGTGCTTAAAGCCTTCCACTGCTTCCCTAAGCCAAAGTACTAAACTACAAAGTCCTCCAAAGAAACACATGGTCAGGCCTATCACAGCGATACCCCAGTCCCTGGTACCAACTTCTGTTTTAGGGTTTCTGTTGCTATGAGGAGACATCATGATTACAGCAACTCTTGTAAAGGAAAGCATTTAGTTGGAGCTGGCTTACAATTTCGGAGGTTAGCTCATTATCGTCATGGTGGGACATGCAGCAAGCAGGCAGACATGGTGCTGGAGAGGAGGCAACAGAATTAAAAACTGTCACACTGGCCAGACTCGACCTTATAAGACCTCAAAGCTCACCTCCACAGTGACACACTTCCTCCAACAAGGCCATACCTACTCTAACAAGACCACACCTCCTAATAGTGCCATGCCCTATAGACCAAGCATTCAAACACATGAGTCTATGGGAGCCATTCCTATTTAAATCACCACAGGGAGCTTATGTACTCACAATGAAAATATTATGTGGAAAAATACTTTAGATTATAAATCCTATTCAAACCACTGTACAGAAGTATGACTCTGGACAGAGGGTGCTAGGATTGTTAAAGAATTACCTTCTGAGGCAAAACGTTTTATTTTGGCTTGTATATATAAATCATGATGTTAAAATCATTGCTTGTTTCTGGAATGGAAGCATTGCCGATTTCTCAGAAGAAAATTATGTTAATGAGTATGTCCGTTTGCATTGTTCCTACTTCAGTCTTGTGGCAATACAACCAGCTCTATGACAGCTTCTCCTTATTTCAGCCACGCAGAGCACCACTTACTGCATAGGATAATTTTGTACTCTAGGCACCGCCCTTTTCTTAAGTGAGTTACTAAGAAGAGTGACATGGTCTAAAGCTGGCAGTGAAAACGCCGTGTGCTGTTGATATCATGGATTGGGCTTTTTCTTAGACTCACTAGAGTAGTGAAATAGTGAAATGCCACCAGATAGTTTCCTGATGACATAAATACAGGTTTGATTTTTATTCTGTGTGTAACAAATGTGGTAGCAATGTCCTGTTACTTTTTACTCATGTAGATTCAAAGTGAAAATTAAAAATTCAGATTAATGGAGTCATACTTCATAAATGACACTGATTTAAAACGTTTTAAGGGTGCAGTAGTGATTGCAAGAACTGGATGAAATGGCAGTCAGAAGCACAGAGCCGGGATCTCTCAATGGTGGAACAGACTTCACACTGGTAAGCATGGCTTGGCTTTGCTTTTCGTTCTTCCTTTCTTTTTTGAGACAGGGTCTCTCTCTATGTAGTCCTGGCTGTTCTGGAATTCACCTGTAGACCAGGCTGGCCTTGAACTCAGAGATCTTCCTGCCTCTGCCTTCTGAGTGGTGGGTTTAAAGGCTTGGGCTATCACTGCCCAGCAAACTTTTCTAAATGTGTGGTTCAATAGCTTTATTCACTGAAGTACTTAGTAGCTTATTAATGTTTTCTGCACTTCTGGTAATGAATCTTAAGTTACAGTACTTGTCAAATAATCTTAATAAAATGAAACTACATATTGAAATAAATTTGAAACTTTTTATTAAAAAAGTATTATCTTATTAATTTTGTGACAGGATCTACTTAGCGCAGAAAACTCAAAAACATTAGAAATTGTTAATAGTCCTGAAACAGTTACTGTCCTTTTATAGATGAGGAAATTGGGCTCAGAAAGTTTAGATGATAGTCATGTAAGGACTAGGAGGAGAGTTAGAACTCTACAGCCTCCCAGTTCCAAGGCAAGGGCATTTGATGCCTCATTGCTGCCGGAGACACACAGGGTGGCTCTGGGCCATCAGATAAGGCTGCGTTCTTTACTAAGCCCACACAGGCTGGAGAGCAGGAAATGGATGCCTCAGGGGTGAGGCTGCTTTTCGTGTGCAGCCTTTATTCTCTTTTTCTGTTTCTGTAAAACAAGCAGCAAAGGCTAATCAGATACCAATGGAGGGAATGAAGGCTGCCACCAATCTTTACCACAGGCCAAAAGATGCTGACTGGTCCCAGGGGTTGGTCTGTGACGCTCGGAAGTGCTCAGTCTCCCATTTCTCAGGGACTATTTCCTACTTGCTTGATGCTCCAGAATGAATTACTTACCCTGATATTAGAGCCTTCTTCACTCTCTCTGGGGCTGCATTTTTAGTGTATTTATCTGATTCCCCTAGGAAGAGGGAGCTCCAAAGTAGAGCACCCTAAATGATGAGCTGGGGAACTAGGAGGGAATACTGAAGACTTGCTTCTGTGTACTTTAAGATCTAGAGTAAGGAGTTTTAGCTTTACCAGTACTAAACTAGTGCATGTGTAATTGGCAGCAATATGCAGTAGCTGGAGGTGCACACTCGGGTTTTTGGTTTTGTTGTGAACAGGATGTTTGGAGCTAACTCTTGGAAAGGAAGCTCCCTTGTGTCTTGTTTCAACTGTATATCCCTCCACCCCCCAAATCTTTTTCTAGCACTAAATGATCATTCCCTGGTTAGAGGAATTTGACATGTATGAGAACCCAACTGATTCTGTTTTTCCCTTCCTTGTGACATCCACCTGGCATAACACTTTGCCTGTTTAGTATTTTGCCAAGGCTTGACCAGACAATAAAGCTGTTTGAGAGGTATTAAGTGTACGTTGGCACAGAGAGAAAAGATGGAAATGTGTAAGATGTGTGTCCCTTACACCGTAGTTAATGTAGGTGAAAATGTGTAAGATGTGTGTCCCCTACACCGTAGTTAATGTAGGTGAAAATGTGTAAGATGTGTGTCCCCTACACCGTAGTTAATGTAGGTGGAAGGGCACACTTGGCAAAGGGGAAGAGCTGGAGGACTCATGGATGTGATGCCAGGCACAAGCTCTGCAGCCCGAGGAATCAGAGCTGCTGTGAGCTCAAGTGCCTTCAGATGGCACTACCCTCCAGCCCCCCTCAGAGCTGCGGAAAGCAAGGAAGTGAGTCAGGTCTCGGGAAAAAGAAAACTCAATTCTGCTATTGCCCTGGTTGAGTGATCTTGGGCAAGTCCCCAGCTATCCCCACCTTTTACCCCAGGAAAAGAGTCCCCCTGCTGCACACAAAGAGGGGACTGGGCAGTTCTGGAGAATTCTACATGTTCTGAAGCAGCCCTGGGTATTAGTGAAGGAATTTCTTTGATGAAAGCAAGTAATGTTTTAAGTTTATAATGAAGTTGGATGGGCAAAAAGTATCATATTGCCACCATGCTTTCCATGGCTCAGGACTTTTCCTCTCCGGGCATCGGCTGTTCACGTGGTACTTCTGGGTCTGGCAATAGCCAGGAAGTGCATGCAGCCACTTCAAATGCTAGTTAAGTCCATAATATATGTGGAGGGTAAGCAAGTAACGAAATAGTATACACATATTATACATAAAGCCACAAATTATATATGCGTTTGCGTGTGTGCGTGCATGTAGAAAAGATCTGAAAGGAAACTTTTAAATGTACTTATTTTATGTGTATGGGTGTTTCGCCAACAAGTATGTCTGTGCACAGCTTGTGTACCAGGTACCTGGGCAGGCCAGAAGAGGGTATCAGATTCTCTGGGACTCAAACCTGGGTCTTCTGGAAGAACAAGAGCTTTTAACTGCAGAGGCATCTCTCCAGCCTCTTTAAATTTCTATTACATTGTTAGTTTACTTTTAAGAAGCTATTTCAGTCATTAAAAATGAAAGAGCGAGTTCCAGGACAGACTCCAAAACAATACAGGGAAACCCTGTCTCGAACCCCCCCCAAAAAGAAACTGTTTTTAGATCAAACATCAAAGTTTTGTACAAATACTTAATAATCCCTGTAAGAAGGGGCAACAGCATCTTCAGGAGGCAGCTGTTCAGGAAACAAACCTCTGGTACTGTCCTGGAGTCTCTGCTTAGGGCTGCCAGGGCCCAGAGACTCTGGGCAGACCAGAGCTGGATGTGGGCACCCACTCACATCATTTGAAAGTTTCACTGAATCACCTCAGGTAACTGGGGTTTCCCCAGCTCTTAGTGAGTTTGGTTTTCTCCACAAGACTTTTGAACTGACTGGTCTACAGGGACCTTTCTACTCTAAAGTCCAATTCTGAGTAACACTCCATGCCAAGGACACACTTACACCAGCAGACATGTCATATGGAAGCACAGTAGTCATACTTGCCCTAAAGAAAGTGAAATTTGACATAAATCTCTCTCTCCCTCTCCCCTCCCCTCTCTTCTTCTCTCCTTCCACTATTTACTTAAACTTTCTGTATCTGTGGCATTCTCTGCTTCATGGGCCCTGATGACTTCCATGTCAGAAGCTGAAAATTCAGATCTTTATTGCCTAGCCTCCCTTGCAGCTACGAGCAGGCATAAGGTTCTGCATTGGATTTTGTTTCAGGAACTAGCAATGTCAATAGCAAAGAATGCTAAATTTGTTCCACAGAGTTCTGGAAGCTACAGAGGGCATATTGCTCCCGGTGTGGCATCCGAGACCAGCAGCAGACCCACAGGCCCCCCAGTGATGCTCCTGCTATGCAATCCTTGGTATCTCGAGGAGCTGTTATACCTGTGTTGCCTTTAATCCTGAGTCTACCATCCTCTGGCACTACTCATATCATCTAATAAATTCTCTCTCTGCTTCAATTACCCAGAGTTGATTTGGTTTCTTACAGCAAAAACCCTCTGGCTGACTCATACTCACTATTCTTAAAAGAAAGTGCACTCTTTTAAACAGTAGAAAATAAATATATTTAAAGAAAAATGTGTTTTTCCATCCCTTTCTTGACTTCTCATCTTCCTAGATCCCTTACTAGAAGGCATACAATATTGCTAGTTCGTGTGGCCTCAATACACACTAAACTTCTTTTATTGCGTATATTCACTGTGCACAGTATTGATTACGTGAGGACATTTCATGTAAGTATTCAATGTAATTTAAACATATTCCCCATTGGCCTGTTTCTGCCTTTTCTCCCACCTTCCTATTTCTACTTTCACATCATATACACATACACAATGCTACAGACCTACATAAAGTCTAGGAACCACTTAGGAAAGAAAACAGACTTGTTTTTCTGAGACAGGTCTCACTAAGAGACTGACCTGGAACCCACAGGGAGTTCCTGCTTTCCCACTTCAGGTATAAAAACATATACCAGTAGACCAGGTGGAGCTACTGACTTTTGTATGTTAAGTTTGTGCCCTGCCACTTAGATGAAAGTGTTTATTTTTGTTTATTTACTCTTTATTTATTTGGCTGGAGTCTTTAGATTGTCTCTTATGTATAGAATCATATCATTTGCTGAAAGGGATAATTTGATTTCTTCCTTTCTTAGGTCTGTTTCCTTTCTATTTTCTTTTCCTCTCTTATTTCGGTAGCCAAGTTTTTAAGCACTTATACTGAGTAAGAGTTGAAAAGTTAGGGGACTGGAGAGATGGCTCAGCAGAAGCACTTGTAGCTTTTTCAAAGAATGTTTTTTGTTCTCAGCACTACATGGTAGCTCACAGCTGCCTGTAACTCCAGGGGAATCCAACACCTTTTTCCGGCTTCCTAGGACAACTGTGTTCATGTTCCGGTCCACACACAGACATAGACACAGGTACAGACAAGTTTCAAAACTTTAAGGAAGTAAATTAAAAAAAAAGAGTAGAGAAAGCATGCATCTCTGTTTTATTCCTGATTTTAGTAAAATGCTGGGGTTTTCAGCATTATATTGCTTATAGATTTGCCATATATGGCAAGAGGGTTGTCATATTTTGTTGAGATACACTCCTCTGCTCCTGTTACCTTCAGGGCTTTATCATAAAAGGATGTTGGATTTAGTCAGAAGCCCTTCCCAATATTAAGATGATGCTGTGATGTTTGGACTTGCATCCATTTATGCTAAATATTACATATGTTGATCACATAGAGTATGTTAAACCATCCTTGCATTGCTCCAGAGGTATTCTGTGTATACAGAAAACATATCTATATTCTTAAGAAAATTAAGAGAGCCCGGAAGCAGTGTCAGAGAGAGGCCAAGGGTCACCATGCATGCACAGTGTCATTCAATAGATATTTTTCCATAAATTGTTTTTTTATGGTACATATTAACAAGCTCCCTGAGGCATTTTCAGATATGGGTATAAGCACTTTGATTACATCATGTCTTTCTTTTAAACTTAATAATACACATTAGAAATAATTACACAAGTATAACGTTGCTTTGTTCTTTTCAATGCCAATTCATGACTTTCAATAAATATGATT